AGGACAGCCCCCCCCTGGAGCAGAGCCCCGCCCACCTCCCCAGCCAGGTAAGCCCCGCCCACAACGGCCCCACCCCTCTGCGCTGGGCCTCGCCCCCTAGGCTTGGTTAGCCCCGCCCATGTGTCAGCAAGCCCCGCCCCTGCGGTGGCTCCCTCCAGCGGTGGGGACACCCTCCCCCCCGGGTGTCACACAGGTCACGGGGGTGTCACGGGGGTCGTGATGATGTCATATGGGTTGTGGTGATGTCATCTGCGGCGTCACTCAGGTCGTGGCGGTGTCATGGGGGTCGTGGCGATGATGTCACACGGGTCATGGTGATGTCACAGGCGGCATCAGGCAGGTTGCGACAGTGTCACGGGGTCACGGTGGCGTCACATACAGCGTCGCACAGGTTGTGATGGTGTCACAGGGTCGTGGTGATGTCACCTGCGGCGTCACTCGCGTCGTGCCAGTGTCATGGGAGTTGTGGTGGCACCACGTACAGTGTCACGCAGGGTGTGATGGTGTCACAGGGTCGTGGTGATATCACATGTGGTGTCACTCAGGTCGTGACAGTGTCACGGGAGTTGTGGTGGTGTCGTGCATGGTGTCATGTGGGTTGTGATGGCGTCACCTGGGTCGTGACAGTGTCACAGGCAATGTCCCACAGTGTCCCCCAGCCAGGGCGCTGTCGTCTGGGTGTCCCACAGCTCACGGTGCTGTCGCGCACAGTGTCGCACACGGTGTCACAGGGTTCGTGTCAGTGTCACACGGCATCCATCCCATGCTGTCACACAGCCCTGTTGCTGTCCCTCGGCTGTGGGGCAGTTGCACAGGCGGCCCGTGCCTGGGACGGTGCTGGGGTGGAGGTGTTGGGGTGTCAGGATGTGGGTGTTTGTTGGGTGTCAGGGTGTCGGGTGTGGGTGTTTGTTGGGTGTCAGGGTGTTGGGTGCTGGGGTGTGGGTATTTCTTGGGTGTCAGGGTGTTTGTTGGGGTGTCAGGGTGTCTGGTGCGGGTGTTTGTTGGGTGTTTGTTCGGTGTCAGGGTGTTGGGTGCTGGGGTGTGGGCATTTCTTGGGTGTCAGGGTGTTTGCTGGGGTGTCAGGGTGCGGGTGTTTGTTGGGTGACAGGGTGTTTGTTGGGTGTTAGGGTGTTGGGGTGTCAGGGTGCGGGTGTTTGCTGGGTGACAGGGTGTTGGGTGTTTGTTGGGTGTCAGGGTGTCAGGTTGCGGGTGTTTTTTGGGTGTTGTTGGGTGTGGGTGTTGGGTGTCTGGGTGTCGTCGGGTGTCAGGGCGCAGGTCTTTGTCAGGCGTTCGTCGGGTGTTGCTGGTCATCGGGTGCTGCACCTGCCTGTCT